ATATGATGCCCTCTTTATACCCTTAAGAATCTTATGTTATAAAGAACTAATTAACTTGATCCTCTCGATTCTAAAAGGGGAAAAAAAAAAGGGAATGGGCATATCATAATTTACATTTTTAAAAACTTTGTTTCAGGAACTTTTCTGAGTTTTTAAATTCCATGGTTTTTAGAAAAATTCAAGAAAGATCGTAGAAAAAGAGAGAAAATGACAGCACAGAGTTTCCTGGACCTTGTTACTTTCTAAGATTCTCTCTGCATTTCCTCTCACTTTGTGCTAAATGTTTTAAGCTTAGCTGACATCTATGGACCGTTCAAAACTGTGCAACACCGGAAATTAGCTCTTCAAATGAAACTAATAAACAAAACACTCCTAAGATCTCTTCTCCACTCTGTTTAATAAAATACGAATGGTTCCATGCCCCCCAAGAGCGACTTTGAATAATGAAAGAAGAGCAGACAGTTTTATCGGCAAATTATGTTCGAGATCTTATTAATTCATGACAAGATTAAGGATTGAGACCCCAACTATCTCACAATCATCGTCACTCCCAAGGGTCGGCATACCTCATGCCAACAAGACAACTCTGTCCAGCTAGAAAGTCAGGAACTGCTGTTTTTAAGAGATAATATATATAAAGAAAATGAGCCGTTTAGGCCAATAAGCTCTAAGATCCTTACTAGATTGAGCAGTGTTTTCAGCTAACTGCATGTATTTAGCCTTAAGTGAAGACAATCTAAGGCTAATCATTGGAGGGTTTTGCCTAATTTAGGATTCAAGAGGACTAATGAGAATTTGGAGACAACTTGTTAGGTCGGTTCGTTGAACAACCTCTCACGGGTCACTAAGCACGAGATGGAGCATGTGCTCTTTGGTACTGACTCCAGATACATTTACCATAGTGGTCCATTATGCCTTCACCCTAGAAAGAACTTCAGCAAGGTAAATGAAAAGGAAAGAGAAATATATACCAGGCTTTATAGGATCCAGATTATGGTCAAGACGAAGAGACCCAAATCTGGTTGGGTCAGCATAGGCCCTGATAATCAAATGAATGAAGAAGTCCGCTACTGTTACACAATGCACATCACATAGGTGCCTAAAGAGTGAACTTTGAGAAGATAAAATTCTGCATGATCAAATTAGGAGGAAAGAGGCATCTTTCCACATTGGACATAATCCATGCAAATGAATAAGAAATGCTTGAGTTAAAAGTGGGTTTTCATTCAAATCCAGGATGTTACTAACATTCTACAATCTGATGATACATTCTATTCTCGATGGCATCCCAATCCAATGTCCCGTGACATACATTCATCGAAGCTAAATTTTAACCAACCAATATCCGATAAGCTTTCCTGAACTTACCTTATGTTCTCCGGACTCAATTTTCCACATCCAGTTCAATACAAGAATGTAACATTACCAGCACCAACCAGCTGATAACAGCTAACTGTCCTTCCTAAAAATGGTTGCTACTTGTAGAAATATGATCAAATTGTTCAACCACTGAATAACCACTTGTTGCTGAAACCTTGATTAGTAATCAAGTAGATTTTCATTTCCTATATAATCATGCAGCGGACATTCTATGCCGGTCACGGCTCCACTCGCTGTCCTAATAAAAAATAATGTGCCTACTAAGGTACTAAAAACTAAAAAGGATCACAGCAGCTTCATCTCATATTTGTTTGGACAATACAATTCATGCATACCATTCAAATTGACATGACAGACTTGCAGAAACACAAATTTAAGAAATTATATTGAAATAATCTAAACCAGGTACAAATACAAATTGGTCCAAAACTAGAGGAAAATAATTTGCAGTCGCACAAATTTAAGAAATTATGTTAGAATTTGTAATTCTAAACCAAATGCAAATACATTTAGGTGCAAGACTGGATACTCAGCCATGGAGGGGGAAAAAAAAAGGCTTCTACTCTGACACCGTTGTTCGAAGTGGCAGAGAACTTTCAACTCCATTAGCCTCAGCATGCTTTTCTGCAACAGCCTTTGACATTCCAAACATCTGAAAGTGAACCAAATCATTCAATCAGACACAAAGACACAATCATCAGATAATACATCAACAAGCATAAAGAAAAGAGCAAGCAATTGAAAGCACGAACCTTCTGAATGGTCTTCTTAAAGCAAGTCTTGTGTTCATCCATTGATGCATTAACGAACTCATCAATATGATCCTTCACATCTTGCAAGAACGTGGCCTGCTCATTCTTTTTCTTCCTGCATGAAGATACAACCGAGGTTGCGGCAGTTGAAGATGACTTTTCTTGCTGGCTTTTCTGTGCTTCCATCCTTTGTTTCTCCTGATAAAAAAAACTCCATTACCAACATAACAATAATGATAATGAACAGGGCATAACCAGGCCAACAAAAACCCTTTGACCCAGAATTCAGTAAAACCACAATCCAAACACAATAAACCATTAAAAAAAAAAAAAAAATCAGCATCGATTTTTTCCTTCTCTATCTCCATTACTTTCCAAAAGAATGGAAGTATAATCAGGCAGTATTGTACTCAATTCAACCCTCTATTGATCGAAAACATTCACCCTAAACATGATCCCAGAAAACTTCAAGTAAGAATGAGCAAAAGAACAGATTAAGCAGTCGCACACCAACTGCTCGACCAAATGCCAGAACCAGAAAAAATAAAAATAAAAATCCATAGAACACAACAAGTTATTAACATTACTTCGAATCATAACAAAATTTCAGTCATGTAATCTCGAATCAAATTCACTAACATCACAAATTAAAAAAAAAAAAAAATTAACAAAGAAAAACATGCGAATCTGCGAAAAGAGCAAACAGCTCAAGAAATTCGTACAAAATATAAAATCTACCTCGATCAAAATTGACCTCAATAACCAAGATGAGAATGTTTTAGATTTCCGAATTGGTTCTTATTTTGTTGCTGTATCGCTCCGCGGGAGAGGCTTATATAGGTCGGTTTTTGTACGGGTGGGAGTAGCTGAGATTGGATATTGACGGTATGTTCATTGGTTCGATGAGGAAAAGAGGAATAGTCAAAAATAAGGGGGGAGAACTTTGACTTTTGTGAGCCAATCATTTTGGTTTTTAGTATCGAATATTCTAGAAGTTGATGCAGTTGATTGTGGCCATCTCTTGAGCGTCTCAGCTGTGCCTTTTGTATACTTAAGCCCAATACCAATTTCTTCAGTAAAGGCCCATTCTAATTGCTGGGCCATAGTTATTATTATTTTTTAACTTTATCTTTAATATTTTGAAATTATATTAAATTTCGATTAATATAAACTAGATTTTAATAAAATTTTTTAAAGAGGAAACTCTCAATATTTTTTCTTTATTTATAAGGATCTAACTCAAAATTTTATTTTAAAATAATTAAAATTTTTTAATTCAAACTAACAGATTATTAATCTTAATCTACTTGTTTCCTAGAGTCATCATTCTGTTTTTTGTTTTTTGTTTTGTTTTTTTTGCCAACGACTCATCATTTTTTTTTTGTTCATCACTTCTTTCGAAAGTTCTTGGGTTTGCCGTCTGAGGGCAAAAACCGGAAACACATACAGAAGTCCCACCCTCGTAATAGGAAACCTACCCTCATCTTACCCTTCTTTTTTTTTTTCGAACAGGAGGAATTAGGGGATAGGGGATTGAAAGGGATGGTATTCAAAACCCTACACCCTAATTAAGATGTCTTTAACCATTAATAAGTGGTCACTCGAGTTATTTAGGATTTCTCCATTTACTACCTAATTTTGTACAATTTAAATTATAAAAGACAAATTTACATGATTATTTAATGTTATGTATTAGAATTGTATAGTTTATGACCCTTATATCATGCATAATTGTTTATATCTGACCTACAAAACTACGTTTAAAATCAACTTTTAAAATTATAGTTGTGATACATTATAATTTATATATATATTTTAAGTAAAATAAGTAAAATATAATTAATGCTACATATAATCGTAAAATTTTATTTTAAGATAAAATTATGTGAATCATTTTACTTGATGTAAAATGTGATTGTAGATTTACATAGATGCAACAAATTCATGAACATCATTCCATTCTATATCTTGGCTTATTATCAGGGATGTCTAGCCAGTAAAATTATACTACCAGAGTCGTCCAAGGTAGGAAGGTGTTTGCAGCATGGATGCGAAAGTCAGTGGCATAAAACTTAAATATGAAGATATCAATGTTGATTAATTTAAGGAAATTTTATTATAAAAACCAAACATGGATCTCCACTTGCACTGCAAACTTAAGTAACACATAACAGTTGCTAATAAATTTAAAACACAGAGACGGCAATTGAAAAGGTAGTGAGAAAATAAAACAGTGGTAGCCTGCATGATCCCTGGTTTCCCATAAACGAGAGGTAGTTGGGCTACTAAATATTCTGTACTGGGTACTTATTAATGCATTCTTCCCAGGGACCATTCGCAGACGGCTTTGCATTTTTTAGGGCCTGCCAGACCGCACTGTTACACTTGAAACCACTTCCAAATGCAATCTGCCAAACACGGTTTCCTTTCCGCATCCTCCCCTTGGCCTCTATGTAAGCCAGCTCGTACCAAATTGAACTGGATGAGGTGTTACCAAATCGATGGAGAGTCATTCTGGAGGCCTCGACATGTTCTGGAAGAAGTTGCAAATTCTTCTCAAGCTCATCAATCACAGCCCTTCCCCCAGCATGAATGCAGAAATGTTCAAAAGCCAGTTTGAAATCTGGGATATAAGGCTTGATTTTGGCATTGAACAATTTCTTGGCTATCAAAGTCAGCAAGAACTGAAATTGCTCACTTATGGGAAGAACAAGGGGACCCAATGTGGTGATGTTGGCCTTGAGTGCCTCACCAGCAATGGCCATCAAATCCTTGGACAATGAAACCCCAGTTTTCCCAAGCTCATCCTGCTCCTGGTATACACACCTGAATGCCTTATCATCTGCCCCACAATGTGTCCTCACCACATGAAGAAGCTTATACTTCGCCCTTCTCCTGTCAGAAGATTTATTGGACAACAAAACAGCTGCAGCACCAATTCTAAACAAACAATTCGGGATCAACATCGATTTCTTGTTTCCAAAGTAACCGTTCTGTGTGATGTTTTCAGTACTAACAACAACTGCATAAGTGTTCCTATGAGCTTGCAACATGTCTTTAGCAAGATCAATAGCTATAACCCCAGCACTACACCCCATACCTCCAAGATTAAAACTTTTAATATTACCCCTTAATTTGTACTTGTTAATAATCATAGCAGAGAGGGAAGGAGTTGGATTAAAACAACTACAATTAACAACAAGAATCCCGATATCCTTAGGCTTAACATTAGTATTGGCAAAAAGATTATCTAATGCACCAAACATCACCTGCTCAGCCTCCTCTCTTGCTTCGGCCATTGTTGCTGTTGGAGGAATGGAGTGCATGGATTTAGGAACACAAGTCTCCTCTCCAAGTCCTGATCTCTCCAGAACCTTGCGTTGAAACTCTAGAGAGGACTTTTCAAAGACCCCTGAGAGCCTGTAACGCTCCATGAACCAGTGGGACTCAACTTTGAGATGTGCAGGAGGGCGGTAACAAGAGTAATCAAGGAGGTAAACGGGTCTGGCTCGAGTCAGGATGTAAACGGTGGAGGCAAAAACGAGAAGAGTTGAGAAAACAATGACACTCACAAGATTGTACTGAAGATTTAGCCATAACTGGTGAATGTCATCGGGGTCCAACCGTGATGCTTCAAGGATTGTAACGGCTATTAAAGGGACCAAACAGAGGGTTAAAAGATGACTGACCAAGTAATGATAACCCAGTTTAACATATTTCAAGTTGACACTTAGCAAGAAATCAGGCAATCTCCTGGCTTGCGGGTTCTGATGAGCCCCATTGGGGGTAGTCGAGTTCTGCTCAGAACTCATAATGGGTACTCAAAAAATGGGTTCTTGAGCTGAATTGAACTGGGTTTCTTATGAGGAAGCAAAGGGGGGATACAAGGTGTCGTATATATAGAGAGGTTATGCCCACCTCCCCGTTCAATCACATGGTATAAAACAGAAGGTAAATTCATTTAAATCTCATCCACTATCCAGTTCAAATTAGACTTATCAACAGTTATAATGATATTATAATGTCTTAATTTTCACTTCTATAATATATACATAAATGTTTAATATCTCTTAAGAACATTTTATTAATTAAAAATTAAAATTTTTATATTAAAAATATTAAATTTTAAATTTTAAAAATATATATTTTTTATTTAATGTCACACATACATATATATATATATATATAAATGCTTGATTAAACAGGATCAGAGGACAGTAACCGAGGAGTTAGAGAGGGCGGCAAGAACCACTACATTGAACGTCTGCCATTAAGAGCAGGTAGGTAGATTCTTTGAATTCCCCTTACAGATAGGTGTTCCTCCTCTCCTCTGTAACAGGTAGCATTAGAGAGAAGAGTAGTAAAAGTAAAAGCAAAAGCAGCACTGTACGGATGAGGAAGATGGTGGAGTTGTTGGCACAGTTGCCCCATTTTAACTCGATTGACAATTTTGACTTTCATTGATAATATCAATGTAACGAGTCCAATGCTACTCGTTACTTGAGAAATTGCAAGCGAATTTCATATATAATTGTGGAGATTAATTATTAATAATAATTTAATTTAAGTCATTTTAGATAAATTTTATTATAAGGGGAAAATTTATTTTCTTAGGTGATTAAAGTATTTTAAAATTAATTTTATTACATATTGAGATTGATTTTTTGAGTAATTTTAAACATACATTTTATATTAATTTAATGTATTAAAAAATTAAATTTTATTAATTATAAAATAAAACTTATTTATTAATAAATTTAATTTTTAATTTTTAAAAAAAATATAAAATCCATCTAGTACGATCAACATAAACTTCGGCTTAACCGAAAAGGTTATTAAGTCATTCGCGAGTACGTGGGTCGTTTCAGATAGGCTTTGCCATAAGGAGGAATTTCTTTTCTTAAGATGGTGGAGGTACTTTTGGACCAATTTTACCGCATCTTAAAATTAATTTTTTTAAAATAATTTTAAAGATACATTTTGTATTAATTTGATATATTAAAA